ATTTACCATATGAATGGTATGATAAAAGATCTTGTAGTACAAAAGTTGTTAAGAACTCCGGAAAAACTAATTTGTTACTACCCGGATGAATAAACTTATTCATGACATTGATATTATAAAGTCTCAAATCAAACTTTTTGAGTTTCAAATATATAAGTCAAAGTGATTGGCATATTGAGACTATAAATGAAAGGAAGATTGAATATCTTCATATTTCTATAATCATACCGGGTAAATATGAAAGGTTACCCGATCTTCTTTCTATTTGTACTACACAAATATAAGCATGATGCTGGAATCATATGCCACAAGTAAACTAGAGGTTTACTAAAATAAATATTAATTGGCATGACCGGTTGACCATCTCGGTTCAATTATGATGCGAAAAATTAATTAAGAATTACATTGACATATATTGAAGAATAGAAGATTCTTCAAGAATTCTCTTGTGCTGCTTATTCTCATGATATACCAGTTAAAGGTTGGGATTGAATCCCTTGATTTCTAGAAGGAATAAAAGGTGATATATATATGGGCTCAGTCACCTTCCATGTGGACCGTTTACTATTATATGATTTTAATAGATGCACCTATTTTATGGTCAAATGTGCATTTGTTATCAACTTGCAGTTTGGTTTTTGCAAGATTGCTTGCTCAAATTATTAGAGCACAATTCTAGAGTATAAATTATTATGATTTATCTTGATAATACTGGTTTAAATCCAAGTTGGTTTAGCGAAAATTGTATGCCTCCAATTATAGCTAAATCATTGGTTATGAGAACAAAACTCCCAAAAATGAAATTTGGTATGAGATGTATTATTTAATATACACCAGCACTTGTACGCATCTAGCCAAGTTATGAAAATTTCTCCCTATCACAATCGGTTCAGGGTCAGGAACCAAATAATTTCTATATAGAAATATGAATGTGCTATATGATTTAATTATGCCACCACAATGCACAAAGAAGAAGGTTGGGAAATGTGTTGTGATCCCAACATTAGGGGGAGAAAATGGATAGCTGAGAAAGTGATACGTGAAATGAATTATTATGAATACATATAGATCCTCGTACAAGAAAATATGAACTTGAAGTTCAAGTGATAATTAATTTATAAATTATTGCCAGACGCATTTGCTGACCCAAAGCTAAATGTCATATTTCAGCTGTTAATGCTCCAAATAGAATAAAGTCCATAAAGGATAGAGTCTATGANGCATGCATGAAGCATAATAGACCAATCGGTTACTAAGATAAAACTCCTTGAAAAAGGAGAGGGGCAAATGTTCAAGATGGTCATAATAAGGAGGCAAGTGCTCTAGAAGAGCATCACGATATAACACTTTGTAAGACCTCATGTGAGAGGCTCAGGTACCTGAAAATAATGAGATAAAGAGATATCAATAAGTTATGTCTTTATTGTGTAATAATTGAACCGATATAAAATGATCGTCGACGGTATTATTAACATAATGTAGCGCTCAATATTATTAATATTGACGAGGATCTTGAGCTCAAATCTGTCATGAAATTTGGACAGATAAATGATTGGCCAAATGAAAAATACGCAATGAAAATTGACTTCACTTGAAAAAATGTGAAGTTGGGCGGATAGTCCCAACACCTGAAAGTATAAAGCCAATGGAGGTATAAATGTGTTCTTGTGCAAAAAGTTCATGTCGATAGACATAAAGACGACTTGTGACACAAGAAAATTAGTAAATATCCTCACATTGATTATATGGAGACATGTTCTCTTATGGTGGATATAATTATTTCAGGTTTTAATCTGGCAATACATGAAAACTTGATATGCGTATAATGGAAATCATTGAAGGATTAAAATTGTTCTGAAGCATATTAATGTTTCTAAGAAATCTATTAAATAAAGCTTCAAAAATCCTTATACAGATTGAAACAATCAAGGCGCACGTGGTATAATCGCCTCTGTGAGTACCTATTGAAAGAAAGGGTACAAGAATGATTCAATTTGTCCTTGTATCTTTATAAAAAGATCTGGATTTGAATTTGTTATAATCTTTGTGTATGTTGATTCAAATATCATTACAACTCCCAGGCAGCTTCCTAAAGCAGTAAACTGTTTAAAGAAAGAATTTGAAATGAAAGATCTTGGAAAGACAAAATTTTGTCTTGGTCTACAAATTGAGTATATGAAAGATGAAATTTTTATCAATCAATCAGCATACACTGAAAAGATTTTAAAGCGATTTTATATGGATAAAGCACATCCATTTAGTACCCCGATGGTTGTGAGATCACTCGATATAAATAAAGATCCATTCCGACCTCATGAAAATAATGAAGAACTTGTTGGTCCTGAAGCACCATATATTAGTGCAATTGATGCACTAATGTATCTTGCTAACACTAAAAGGCGTGACATAACATTTTCAGTTAATGTCTTAACAAGATATAGTTCTGCTCCTACAAGGAGACATTGGAGTGAAATCAAACACATATTGCGTTATCTAAAAGGGACTACCAATGTGGGCTTATTTTATGGCAATGATTGCAATCCCGATCTTGTTGGTTTTGCCGATGTAGAGTATTTATCTGACACACACAAGGCTTGATCTCAAACATGCTATGTGTTTACATGTGGAGGCACTGTCATATCTTGGCGATCGACTAAGCAATCAATCGTGGCTACTTCTTCTAATCATGCTGAGATAATTTCTATTCATAAAGCAAGTCGATAATGTATTTGGTTGAGGTCTATAATGTATCTTATCCGAGACAAATGTGGTTTGAAGTGTGACAAACTACCCATAATTTTGTATGAAGACAATGTAACATGCATAGCCCAATTGAAGGGATGATTCATAAAAGGAGATAAGACAAAGCACAATTTACCAAAGTTATTTTTCACACATGATCTTCAAAAGAATGGTGATATCAATGTGCAACAGATTCGTTCAAGTGATAATATGGTTGATTTGTTCAACAAATCTCTACTGACGTCAACCTTCAAGAAACTGGTGTACAAGATTGGGATGCGAAGGCTGAAGGATGTGAACTGATGCTCTCATCAGGGGGAGTTAATACGCGGTGTACTCTTTTTCTCTTACAAGATTTTGTCCCACCGGATTTTCCTTGCAAGGTTTTTAACGAGGCAACCAAAAGGCGTATATGTGTACTCTTTTTCCTTCATTAGGATTTTTTTCCCATAGGGTTTTTTCCTAATAAGGTTTTAACGAGGCACATTATTTATGGACATCCAAGGGGGAGTGTTATGATAAATATCATATTATCGTGGATGTCTACTCTTCCTCCATGATCTTCATGTCACATGCTTAATGACATGTTTTCTATGTTCAATGACATATTCCATGACATATTTTCTTCACTTTTCATGCCTATATAAAGGTCTTGTAATAGATAGGAAAATACACACAATTAAAGAAAAAAATCTCTTCCTTCTCTCTATCTTCATTTCTTGTTCATGTTTTACTAAATTGTTTTTATTTCCTTGTTCCATATTACTACTTTGAGTTATATTTCATAACATGATGTACAATTATATTTATTTAATTAGAGTTTTATAAGCTTAAAGTATTTTTAGCAACTTTTCTACTATTTGTAGATTTATAAATTAGTAAAATTTAAAGATTTATGGGGCCTGCACACCATGTTTGGAGCTTACACTTTGCCGTGTGCCCCTGTCCTTCAATACACTACGTCAGACCTTAAAACTTGAACTTTTGCCATTTTTGTTCTTTTCAATTTTTATTTAAATCTTTTGGAAGCCGTGAAAAGATATCAAAAGTTTCTTAAAATTTTGGAATAGATCGGTTATAAACCATTCTCAGGAAAAATTACTCAACAGACAATCTGCTTCTTTTGAACAAAGTTTGAATAGATGTTCAAGAAGGGTACTTATGGACTAACGAAGGACGCCAGTCTATTAAAGCACGCAGTATTTCGACAAAAAAGACGACATAATTAAGAAAATTAGAATGCAAAGAATCTCAATATAATGAGCAGAATTGATGGAGATTTCAAGGATCTTACTTAAATCAAACAATAAATAATATAAAATATTAAAACAAAAGAACATTGAACACATAATAAGCAAACCCGATCATTTCGGGAAGCATACATCCAATTTTTGCCGAGGAAATGGAGTCGCTAAAAAAAAGAGGACAAAAAGGAATAAAAAGTCATGGAAATGGCGAAAATGATTGAATAGTCAAAATTAGTAGTAGGTTGGCGGAGGAGATGCTGATGGGGGTGGAGGTGAAGCATAGATAGCGGATTGCTCGTACTTCTCAGGCGGTGGAGGTGAGGCATAAGTAGGAGTTTGCTTGTAATAATTTTCGGATGGTGGAGGTGGGTAATAAGATGGTGATTTTTCATAGGTTTTTGGTAGAGACGGCAAGTTGTAACTTATAGGTGATGGCTCGTAGTATGTTGGTGGAGGTGGAGGAGATTTATAGGAAGGCGTAGATTCTTTATAGTATGGTGGAGGTGGAGATTTATAAGAAGATGGTGATTGCTCATAGTATTTTGGTGGGGGTGGAGGTGACTTATAATAAGGTGATTGCTCATAGTATTTTGGAGGAGGTGGAGGTGACTTGTAATACGAAGGTGATTTTTCATAATAAGTTGGTGGTGGTGGAGACTTATAAATTGGGGACTTGTAATATTTTGTTGGTTCTGGTGACTTATAGTATTTAGAGGGAGCAGGCGATTTGTAATATTTTATTGGAGATGGTGACTTGTAGTACTTTGCAGGTGATGGCGACTTGTAGTAGTTCTTTGAAGGAACTGGTGATTTGTAGAATTTTGTTGGAGCTGGCGACTTGTAGTATTTTGTGGGAGCTGGCGATTTGTAGTATTTTGCGGGAGCTGGCGACTTGTAATATTTTACGGGAGCTGGCGACTTGTAATATTTTGCGGGAACTGGTGACTTATAGTAGTTCTTTGCAACAGCAGGCGACTTATAGTAAGGAGTAGGTACTGGGTACTTGGGTAGAGATGGTAATTTGTAATACTTCTTAGAGGTGTAAGAAGGTGAGGGAGAAGCATACCCATAAGAGTAATCAGCAACAACAGTGCTAGCTATAAAGCAAATTGCCAAAGCAGTTACAAGTAAAGGCCATTGCCCCAATTTCCCTAAGCTTGTCATTTTGTTTATGCAGCCAACAATACTTAGAGAAAGAATGAAAAGAACTTAAACTTGACTTGCATATTGAGTAGGGAGCTCTGGTTTTTATATAGCAACATAATATTATCAGTTTAGGAATGTGTTATTGGCACCCACTAAGATTATAGCTAAGTCAGAATATGGGCTTGATCTTTTCTATAATTAGTGGTAGGCATTTTCTCCCAGACTTGTCTTGCATAGTCGAGTAGAAAATTCTGGTTTCTATATTGCAGTGAGATATCATTATTAATTAGGAGTAACATTTATGTAATTGTTCTTGGTTAGCCACAAAGATGATATAGCAAAGGCCAAATAAATAAGGGTCTTTTCACTTTTAGCCCGTCAAAAATTATTTATATTTGTTAGCCGAAAAAGTATATAAAATTTGTATAACTTTTGTTTATAACATACCGAATTTAGATATACACAAAAAACTATACATTTTTCGGCTATTATTTTGAGAGCGGCTATACAATATCATTTTTCCAATAAATAATAGACCAGTACTTAGTGGTTAGCTTTTTTCTGGTGACTGGAAAAATAATTTAGAGATAAATATTAAAAATGGAGAAAACAATAAGGATGCCACGACTTGTATCCCATTAACGAATAATTAAGTTGACTTTTACAAATAATTACGGTATGCTATTGAATATGCAGTGCAAAAACTGTCAGGAAAACCAGCAAATACACACACCAGAGTATACCTTAAGGGGTCATTTGATTCAGTTATAGAATATTCCATGAGACTATAATTCTGGGATATTCCATAGATTATCTATCCCGACTCTGATAAGGGAGAGCTAATACCACCATTTTGGCAGGAGCGGAGTCGAAATTTACATATGTTATTTCTTGGCATGTTGGTTAAGTTCTTGATTTTTTTTCTAAGAGGTCAGAGGTTCAAACCACAACTAGATCATATTTTTTCCAAATATTTGAGAGAGTTTCTATTGTTAAAAATTGTAGTGAGGTAGAATTGAACTCACAACCTCTTCTAACTTAAGACTCTATAAAAACAATGGATTAAGGTTATATCTTGTTGAGTAATATGATAATTAATATTATTTATTATGTGCTCTTCTATAAATATCGACACCATTTGCGAAAAATCATACGTACGCCCCTGCATTTTGGTATGAACTCTATTTCGGTATTAGCTTATATCCACAATCAAATATGAGATAACTCTAATCCCAAATTTTATACATGGATTAATATCTTTATCCTGATAAAAACGACCCCTAAATGTATCGGTATGAGAATAACGTACAACCTGGGATTGGACTCTGCACTTGTAAAATGGTTTGAGCCAGATGTGGGAGAGTCTTGTCTCGTAAAATTTGCGCTTCAAGCGCCCACATGTACCATTAAAATGCATCCAAGCCCATCGCATGAGGCTCGTCCAATTGATTTTGTGCAATCGAGTGTAATTAGTTATGTAAATCCAGAAATTCCTTAACTAAGCTGTCTATATTGACCATAAATCATAAGTGAGAACATTGCAAGCTTAGTCTTTAAAACATCATATGATCTCTTCTTTTCTATTAAAGCTTTAGTGGGTAAAGTTACCCTATACCTATACTGGTGGAAGAAAGCAAACACAGTACATGTTCTGTTAAACTTACCCAGACATCCACTTATTATCGCGAGAGAGAACTTCAAAATTAGTAAGAAAATGTTTCTTGATTCATTTACTTCACGTGAGGTACATATCACATTATGTTTCCAAGATTGTTTTTTTTTTTTTCCTTTTGATGTTGGATTGTTGATGTTCCATATTTATGCTAATGTTTTCACAATTATATTTATTTAATTAGAGTTTTAAAAGATTAACGTGTTTTTAGCAATTTTTTTAACTTTTCTACTATTTGTAGATTTATAAATTAGTTAAATTCAAGGTTTATGGGGCTTGCACACCATGTCTGGAGCTTACACTTCGCCTTGGGCGCCCATCCTTCAATACACTACGTTAGACCTTACTTTTGCCATTTTTGTGTTTTTCAATTTTTACTAGTTTCTGAATAGTTCCTTGCACGTGTATCCCATGCTAATTAGTACAAATATTTCATGATGGTATAAATCCATTAGTACAAATATTTCAAGATGGTATATATTTTGTGATGATTCTTTTTTTTTTATAAGAAGTATAGAAAGCTGGAGAAGAACACTCTTATATCAAAGTATAACAAATATTGGTAAACCATAATATATATATTGGCACAAATAATAACTTTAAATTTCTTCCAATATGCATCTACAAGAAACATTATCAAACAATAACATTACGGTTTTATTTCTTCCCGCAAGGGCCATATCTACCTAGAAGTAAATTACATTGAAAAAAAAATAACTCTTCCCCTAATTTTAGTATCAAGAAAAAATGAGGGAATGTCTTTGTAGAATTCCTTCAAGAATAAATAATGATAAATAGAAAGAAGCAGTAAATAACTTTAAAAAAAAGAAGAGATATACCGTTACTTACCAAAATAAAAAGAGAAATATGATTTTAGTAATGGTCATGATCTCATGCAAAAGAAATTGTCAAAAGGACAACTCAAGATGCATTTTGAATCTATAATTTATACCTCATCCCTTGAACTCAAGAGACAAAATTGCAGCAGATGAAGTGACTGCAAGAGGAAACATTTTTACCAAATAACAAAAGCATGAAATACAGCAATAACAATAGCAAAAAACAAAAACAAAATTGTCAGTGGGAAGGAAGAAAAAAGAAAACTAAAATAAAAGGCTGATACGAAATGCACTAAAAATTAAATGAAAAAAAGTAAAGTATAAAACAGATATTAAACGCCCCATAAAATTGACCATCTGGTGATAGCTTCATGCTTCACGCCTCATGATTTTTTAGCAATATCATGAGTCCAACTAACAATGAGCATGCTTGATCATAGTCATTTGACTGTCCTTCATATCAACACACAGAACTAATGGCTCTCTCATAAGAAATTAATCAATAATAATAAGAATACGTATATAATGTAATTTAAAATTCAAATGATAAGGCATGTTACCATTCTGGTATTTTGCTGTGATAAGGATTTGGTTTAGCAAAAGGCTTCATGGGTACATAGTGTGGAGCGACGAAGGTGAAGAAAAGGAAATACATTTAGAGTAGTGGAACAGACTTTACAACATTTAATTATGAGTAGTAAACGGATGGTTTTAGTGGTGAAAGTTAGAAGGGCAAAAATTAACACTCAATAAATAGTAGAAAATGTAAAAATTATTAATTACCTTGCATTCTTAATTGTACTTATTCATTTAATAGAATTCTTTTTTGAAAAAGGCCAAAATAGTCAATCAAAATTTTATGGGTATTTTCGTAAATCAACTTCATGGGCTTCCCACTTATAATATAGTATGACTTAAATCTTTTCAACTAAGTTTGAATAGATGTTCAGGAGGTGTACTTATGGACTAATGAATGACTTCAGTCTATTAAAGCACGCAGTATTAGACAAAGGAGACGACAGAATTAAGAAAAGTAGAATGCATAGAATCTCGATATAATGAGAATAAATGATGGAGATCTCGAGGATCTTACTTAAACCAAATAATAAATAATACAAATTATTAAAACAAAAGAACATTGAACACATAATAAGAAAACCCGATCATTCCGGGAAGCATATACAAATTTTGGATGAGGAAATGGAGCTGCTTCAAAAAAGAGGACAAAAAGGAATGAAAAGTCGTGGAAATGGCGAAAATGATTGAATAGTTAAAATTAGTAGTAGGTTGGAGGAGGAGATGCCGATGGGGGTGGAGGTGAAGCATAGATAGCGGATTGCTCGTACTTCTCAGGTGGTGGAGGAGAGGCATAGGTGGGAGTTTGCTTGTAATAGTTTGTGGGTGGCGGAGATGAGTAATAAGATGGTGATTTTTCATAGGTTTTTGGTAGAGACGGCAAGTTGTAAATTATAGGTGATTGTTCGTAGTATTTTGGTGGAGGTGGAGGAGATTTATAGGAAGGTGTAGATTCTTTATAGTACGGTGGAGGTGGAGATTTGTAAGAAGATGGTGATTGCTCATAGTATTTTGGTGGGGGTGGGGGTGACTTGTAATAAGGTGATTGCTCATAGTATTTCGGAGGAGGTGGAGGTGATTTGTAATACGAAGGTGATTTCTCATAATAAGTTGGTGGTGGTGGAGACTTGTAGTTGGTGGGCGTAGGCGATTTGTAATAAGTTGTTGGGGTTGGTGACTTGTAGTACTTTGCAGGCGATGGCGATTTGTAGTACTTTGCCGGAGATGGCGACTTGTAATAGTATTTTGATGGAGCTGGCGACTTGTAGTAGTTCTTTGAAGGAACTGGTGACTTGTAGTAGTTCTTTGAAGGAGTTGGTGATTTGTAGTATTTTGCGGGAGTTGGTGACTTGTAGTATTTTACGGGAGCTGGCGATTTGTAGTTCTTTACATGAGCTGGCACCTTGTAGTATTTTGCGGGAACTGGCGCCTTGTAATATTTTACGAGAGCTGGAGATTTATAGTATTTTGCGGGAGTTGGCGACTTGTAGTAGTGCTTTGCAGGAATAGGTGACTTATAGTAAGGAATAGGTACATGATACTTGGATGGAGATGGAGATTTGTAATACTTCTTAGAGGTGTAAGAAGGTGAGGGAGAAGCATGCCCATAAGAGTAATCAGCAACAACAGTGCTGGCTACAAAGCAAATTGCCAAAGCAGTTACAAGTAAAAGCCATTGTCCCAGCTTCCATAAGCTTGTCATTTTGCTTATGCAGCTAACAATACTTAGAGAAAGAATGAAAATTGAAAAGAACTTAAACTTAGAATTGCATATTGAGTAGGGAGCTCTGGTTTTTATATAGCAACATAATATTATCAGTTTAGGAATGTGTTATTGGCACCCACTAAGATTATAGCTAAGTCAAAATATGGGCTTCGTCTTTTCTACAATTAGTGGTAGAGCATTTTCTCCAGGACTTGTCTTCCGTAGTTGAGTAGGGAACTCTGCTTTTTATATTGCAGTGAGACATCCTTATTAATTAGGAGTAACATTTATGTAATTGTTTCATGGTTAGCCACATAGCAAAGTCCAAATACATAATAGGCCAGTACTTAGTGGTTAGCTTTTATCTGGTGGTCGAAAAAATAATTTAGAAATAAATATTAGAAATGGAGAAAACAATGAGGATGCCACGACTTGCATCCCATTAGCGAATAATTAAGTTGATTTATACAAATAATTATGGTATATTAATGAATATGAAGTTCAAAAACTGTCAGGAAAACTATCCTGCCTCTGATAATGGGATAACGAATACCATCATTTTGATATAAAACTTATACCGGTATTAGTTAATACCCACAATCAAATATGAGATAACTCTAACCCCCAAATTTTATACGGGATTAATATCTTTATCCTGATAACCTAATGACCCCTCAATTATTGGTATGAGAATCAGTACAACCTGGGATAGGACGGGGAACTTGTAAAACGGTTTGATCCAGATGTGGGGGACTCTTGTCTCGTAAAAACTGTGCTTCCAACCCCCAACACATAAGGCTCGTCAAATTGATTTTGCTCAATCGAGTGTAATTAGCTATGTAAATTGAAAAAATCCTTAACTAACCCTTAATTTCTCAAAAGCCATCTATATTGATCATAAATTGATACAAGTTAAGAAGAAATCAAGCAATTAAGGAGAAGAACTCGAATTAAGCACTGAAATACAGTAACAGTGAAGTTGAGTTGGCGGCTGACGTGGCAATAGTTAGTTATGTTAGTTACAGTCATTTAGAGTTAGTTACAAGTTGTTAGTTAATAACTACTTCTAGAATCTTCAACTGAGCATATATAGTTGATATACATGTAATTGAGGAATCACTTTTGATGATAATACAATTCTATCTTTTCTAATTTCTTCTCTCATTGAGCTATTTTCTCGATAATTCCTGATATAGTTTTCACCTTCGTCGAGCTTCGATCTCCTAGATTGACTATTCTCGTTAGATTCTGTTGTATTGTACCAATTGGTATCAGAGCTTTCTGTCCTTGGCATCTTCGATCATGACTCGCAGCAAAAATACAGAGAAACCTGTTGAAGAAATGGAGGACAAATTAACAGCTATTCAAGATCAATTGCAGAAGTTGATGGATGGAATGATGATTCTAAATGAGCAAAATGTACAAACTGATAAGGAACTACTAGAATTGAAGGAAACCATGGGAGCTATGAATCAAAAAGGGAAGAAGAAGGAGCCAGTTAGGGCAGAATCTGCTATTGGTTGAGCTGGTTCAACGGAGAGTCAACAAGAAAGAAGAATCAAAGAAGTTCATCAATGTGCGACTTCTAATGGTAATTTTTTTACTCGATACTCTAAGCTAGAATTTTCTCAATTTTTTGGCCATGATTTGAAGACTTGGTTGTACAAAGTCGACCAATTTTTTTCTATGGATGAAGTAGCTTTTGATCAGAGGGTTAAAGTGGCTTCTATTCATTTTGATGGCAAAGCTATTGCTTGGCATAGGTCACATGTGAAATCTAGGGCTTCAGTTTTAGAACCTACATGGACTGAGTATGTGTTAGCCTTGAATGAAAGGTTTGGTGAAGTGTTTGAAGATCATATGGAAGCCTTAAAGAATTTGCAGCAGACTGGCAATGTTAAGGACTATCAAGCTAAATTTGATAGATTATTGACAGGGGTTAATCTGTCTAATGAAAATGTAATTAGTTGTTTATTAGGTGGACTTAAGCCAGAATTGAGCAAGGCTATGAGAATTTAGTCACCTAGAATACTTCTACAAGCCTACAGAATTGCTAGGTTGTAGGAAGAAGTATTTGAGGCCCAAGCTCAATCTTGGGGCCTTAAACCTAACATAAGAACTCACACTGCCCTACTACCTACCCCTAATCATAATTAAACTCAGTATAAACAAAATAATTCATTACCAAACTCCACCAACAAGAAGCCTTTTGAACCTATTCTTAATAAGAACATTAGGATTCCTGACAGGAGATTGAGTGCAGCTGAAATGGACGAGAAGAGAGCAAAGGGATTCTGCTTTTTCTGTGATGATAAGTATGTACCACGCCACAACTGCAGAGATAACAAACAGTTGTACTTGGTAGAGGTGACAGAAGATGAAGAAATCGAAGTAGAGGAACGGGAAAGTCTGGTACAAGAGCTATTGGAAGACTCAGATGAGTTTATGGCTATTTCATTGCAAGCATTTAGAGGTATAGCAGGTTATCAGACAATTAAAGTTATAGTCCATCATGAAAAGAGGTCATTAAAGTGTTGATAGATACTTGAAGTACTCACACTTTTATTAATGAGAAGTTAGCTGCAAGGGTAGGCTGCAAAGCTTGTTCTATTCAAAAACAATCTGTGCGTGTAGCTGATGGCAAAATACTACAGTCTTCTTCAGTTTGTAAGGACCTACAATGGCTATTACAAGGTACAACATTCTCATCTGATTTCTTACTCTTACCATTGGGAAATGAAGATATTGTGCTAGATGTGCAATGGTGGAATACTCTGGGGAGGATATTGTTTGATTTCAGAAACAGAACCATTGAATTTATGTACCTAGGGAAGAGGCATGTACTTAAGGGTGCAAATGATCAACTCAAGTCTGCTAAGGCTAAGAGTTTGATAAGAAACGAAGGAGCAACGACTCAATTCTTTATGATGTCTTTAGTAACCAGTGAGGATGAAAACATTTAATGCCACAGTATACAAGCTATGCCAAGTGCTGATACCTTCCCAGACTTAGCAGCACTTATAAAACAGTATTCATGTATCTTTCAGTTGTCCACTACTTTACCTCCTCACAAGGGTTCTTATGATCACAGGATTCATCTAAATGAAGATTTTAATCATGTTAATAAGAGACCATACATGTATACTGGAATTAAGAAGGATATAATTGAAAAGCTAGTGCAAGAAATGTTAGACCAAGGAGTAATACAACCTAGCACCGGCCCCTATGCATCTCCTGTAGTGTTAGTGGGGAAGAATGATGGTAGTTGGAGACTTTGTGTAGACTATAGAGGTCTGAATCAAATAACTATCAAGGATAAATTTTCTATTCCCACTATTGAAGACTTAATTGATGAACTAAGTGGTGATGAGATCTTTTTCAAAATAGATCTTAGAGCTGGATATTATTAGCTAAGAATGGCTGAAGGAGATGCTCACAAAACTTCTTTCAAAACTCATGAAGGATATTATGAATTTTTGGTAATGCTCTTAGGGATAACCAATGCACCTTCATCATTTCAGAGTTTAATGAATGTTGTCTTTAGACCATTATTAAGGAAGTCAGTACTGGTATTCATTGATGATATTCTGATTTATAGCAAGAGTGTGACTGCTTATGTGGATCATGTAAAGGGTGTGTTTGACTCAATGAAGCAGCATCAATTGTATGCCAAGATGTCAAAGTGTGCATTTGAAGTGGCTAAGGTTGAATACCTTGGGCATTTTATCATTGTTGAGGGTGTATCTACAGACCCAAGGAAGATTACTGTTGTACAAGAATGGCCTACACCTTTGAATATCAAATAGTTTAGGGGATTCCTAGGTCTTGCAGGCTATTATAAAAGGTTTATTCAAGGCTTTGGAACCATATGCAAACCACTTCATGATCTATTGAAGAAGGATGGCTTTGTGTGGAATGATGAAGCTACTACTGCTTTCAATAACTTAAAGCAGGCTTTGGTCTCTACACCTGTGCTAGCTATGCAAGACTATTCTAAACCTTTCACAGTAGAGACAGATGCTAGTGGTAAGGAAATTGCGGTTGTGTTAATGCAACAAGGACATCCTATTGCTTATATAAGCAAGTCCTTAGCTCCCAGACATCAAGCTCTGTCAGTTTATGACTGAGAGCTACTTGCTCTTATCTTTGTTGTTGCTAAGTGGTCTCATTACTTATTGGGTAATCATTTCATTGTTAAGACAGATCAGAAAGCATTAAAGCATTTATTGGATCAACAAGTGCATACTGACTTCCAAGTTGCTGGCATTTCTAAGCTGATGGCATTTGACTTTTCTATTGAATATAAGAAAGATTCTGAGAATATGGCTACAGATACACTATCAAGAAACCTGTTGTTGAACGCTTAGCTATTTTCTTGCTCACTCCTAATGACTCACTATATTTACAGATTAGAACTTCATGGAGGGATGATCCAACTTTGCAGGAGCTGATAACTAAACTATCCCTCCAACTTTGCAGGAGTTGATAACTAAACTACAAACACAACCTTATAAATCCTATACTTGGTGTAACAACCAACTTAGATGGAAGGGCAGGTTAGTTGTGGGTAATGATCAGCAGCTGAGAAAGACTATAATCACACTTTGGCATAGTACTACTCAAGGAGATCATTCTGGGATGGATGCTACTATTAAAAGGCTGCAGTCCTTATTCCATTGGAAATATCTTACAACGAATGTCATAGATTTTATAAATAAGTGTGATGTCTGTCAAAGACATAAATATGATGATGCAGCTTCACCAGGCCTATTACAAGCCTTACCAATTCCTACAATGTTTGGACTGACATCTGCCAAGATTTTATTGAAGGCCTTCCAAAATCACATGGTAAGGAGGTGATTCTGGTAGTAGTAGAGAGGCTAACTAAGTCTGGGCATTTCTTAATTATGCAGCACCCTTACACTGCTTAGACCATGGCTCAAAATTTTTTAGACTAGGTCTTCAAGCTACATGGTATGCCTCTTACTATGACGAGTGACAGGGATCCATTTTTCGTAAGTTCTTTCTGGC